TTTTACATATAAAGCATCGATCCATGCACTCACCTTTAACTGTAATATGACTGAGTCTTTGGGGCTGTTCTCTGGAAGGTTGACATTGTAGGTTTGTTGGGTGAACACCGGGCTGTTGTCGTCAACGTCCAGAACAGTGACGGACAGAGTTAACCTGGATCGCCGGGGGTCCACTGCACCGTCACAGGCTTCAACGATCAGAAAGTAGTGACCTTTCACCTTTGAGAAGACCGAGATTAATGGTCAGACAACTACGACACTACAGCTTTGACAAACATTGAACTTGTCACCTTTTGTCTCACATTCAATTCACTTTCACATTTTAAATACATTTAAAATTTGCCCTGACCTCCCTGTCCAGCGGCACCGTGGTTCTGATGGCTCCGGTGGCGTTGATGGAAAACAGCTTCTGGTGGTTGATGAGCCGATAGTGGACCTCACCGCTGGCGCCCAGATCTGGGTCCGTAGCCTAAACGCAGACACAGATGATAAGAAGGGACAATTTTCAGAATGCATATAACTCTTCAGGCCTGAACTGAACTTCTCAAAATCAAGCTAAATGTGTGTGTGACTGAGGCACTTTTAATTTAGTGTGTGTGTGTGTGTGTGTGTGTGTGTGTTTTTGTCCTGGGAAATAATCAGCTCACACTTATAACTCCAAGAACCCTCATCAAATTGGTTTTCATCCACAATTTATTATAATCTCTGACCTTTTACAGTTACTTACTACACACTGTCTTATTAAGATTTCAGCACAGAGACACTACACTAGCTTATCTCTTTGTTAAGTCCCCTCATGCTGCTCCCGTCTGTAGGTTTCATACAAACTGCACTTACTTTGTCACCTTGTCTTTCTTTTGACAAGGTGGGAAAAAAAACCACCTTGGAGACCTGCTCTCACTCTCTGCCTCTCCCTCTCCTCACCCCTGTTTTTTCTCCTAGCTGCGACTTGTCCAGAAGAATTAAACTTGAGATTAAAAGGCTTTAATGAGCGAGTCGTTACAATTTTAACGAGCAGAGTTTCTTATTTTCTTTGTTGCACTTCTTTCATCTGCCTATCTTTCTCACACCAGTGGACTACAGACCAAAGATTCAATGCCGTCTCTTTCAACTAATAAAACATTAGTGATGAGGAGGCGGCGACGTTCCTTTCACCCTGTTTGAGTGTCCGTCCTGTCCAATCAGGGTTCTTAAAACAGATGAGACCAGAGGAGACAAGAGCAGAGGGAATACCCTTGTTTAAGCGTGTGTGTGTGTGTGTGTGTTCGCCCCTTGACTTGAGTTGACAGTTTTGTGATGAAAGTCAAATTGACAATGACTAATCGCAGATGACATCGTTGGAGAAGGAAATACTTTAAGACGAGGGACAGAATGTATTTGCAAACCGTGATGCACATACTGAAGAAAGCTTCTACATCTTCAACATGGAGCCGTGTGATGATCAGCAGAGTTGGCAGCAGTGAGTCTCTCTGACATCATAGTCGTACACGGCTCTCATGCTTTCAGCTCCCATCACTTAAAGGGATGTACAGTTCCATCACTTGGTAGTGACACACGCTGGTCTTTTCATTTCCTTCAATATGTTTTCACACGCGAATGTCATGGTTGTGTTAAATTGCATTTTACACTGTGCTTTGAGATGGGGCATTATAGCCAGGTATAAACTCTAATACATTCCCCATGTGCTGCAGCTACAGGTCTAAGATCTTTGACAATGCAATCCACCAGAAACATCATGATCTACAGTCTACGTCTTTTCTTTCTTACAGCATGGCGCTTAGTGAAAGAAAGAGGATTAGGATCGTTTCTCAGCCATAGCGTTAGTGGATGCCTTTTCAAAAGATGGTGCATCTGGATATTTTGGGCACTATAGCGTTTTTATTGATAGGACAGAATTTAGATGTGAAAGGCGGAGATGGAGCGGGGGAAGACATGCAGCAAAGGGCCGGAGCTGAACTTGCTGCCGCTGCAGGAGGTCTCCAGCCTCCATACGTGGACAAATATTCAGGGCCGCAGGGCGCCTGATAACTCGCCTGGTTGAGCGAGCAGCCCGAGGACCTGAATATTTCACCACTGACAGTGTACAGGTTTCATCTTTAGTTAATTATTTATCTTGAGTGAACTATTTCCACACACTAGACGCACTGCAACCTGTTTGTTGCAATGGCCCATTAAGGTGTCCATGTTGCCAGTATTATATCTGTAATAAACTCCACAGAAGAAAAACAAATTTTTGGGGGGATTAATAGCAAGTGTTTAATGAATTAGTGTGTCACATCTAACCTTGAAGCTAACATTAACAAAACTGTTTGTCAGAGCTGGAATATTCAGGAGTTTTCATATTAAAAAATAATCAGGAGGAGGATTATTTTGAGGTTGATTAAAAACAAGCACCCGACAAAGTAATGACGATAAATGTTCAGCTCATCTTAATTCATACACACGGAGGAAAACCAAACAAATCAAAGGAGAGAACAACACATTTAAGATTTAAACAGATAAAAAGAGACTGAAGACGACAACAGACACCACAAATGATGACAAGCAATTAAGAAACAATTATGAAATGCCAAATCCCTTCAAAGTTAATATATGGTTAGTTCATTTGAACAATTTTCAATAAACATATAAATCTGTGTTGCTGGCTTGAATCTAATTATCTCTATCGTATACAGCCCATAGTGTTAAATATAGTAAAAGGATCTCCAGCCGGCCGTCTGATTAAAGTAGTAGTCTTTTGCTCTGGAGAACAGAGGAGTTGAGTCGCTCGAGTTCTTCCAGCTGAATTCTCTCCAGGCGGGACAGCTTGTCATTAACCATACAGTGAAATTACCTTCTGCTTCCACACTTGCTTAAATATTCTCTTTGTAGCTATTTGACTCTCTTTGGTTCCTCTATCAGTTTGTGCCTATTGACTTGGTGATGAGAAATTTCAACAGTCAGCTCAAACAAAGGTTCTGGACTCTGACTCACAAAGACCCTGGTCCTGGGTTCACAGGGGACTGTTCAGTGATCCATCCATGTAATTAGCAGTAATCACAAAGTATAACTAATGCTAATGTGAATTTGTTTTGCAGGTATTCGATCATAACAATAAGAGTTAGAAACACAAACACTGATATTCTGACCTGAGAGCTAAAAGCTGGGAGTCATCCTCTAGAGCTTCTGATTGTTTGATCAGTTTCATGTGATCCATCTAATATTTGTCAGGTTATTTCACTGTGGACCAAAGAGGTGACCCACGCAGAGCTAGTTCTTACTGCGTGATTTGTTTAGTTTGGACAGGTTGGGGCACAAATCAAATATTATTCGGAATTGTATTGAATTATTCTGCCAACAAATTCAAAGCAGCAGAGAGAAGAGGGAGGACTGACATCTGGATGCTGGACGTTGTCCAGCTAATTCAATATGATTCCAGTATTTTTTTGTTTGCATATATTACGTGGGTAGACATTAATGAAATACAAATCATATTTGTCCCCCAACTGACCGTTCAATATGTTTATTAATATGTGTTAATGTGTTTAGATCATATTCACATTTACAGTATATTCCATTTCATTTAGTTCACTGTTCCAGTTTTTGCTGTTGCAGTGACCCATATTCATTCCTGTTTCCCGCATTTTGCACTGTTAATATTTCATCTCCTCCTCACACAGTGACTACAAGGATTGATAGAAATTGGACTCTATCTTGCCAGCGTTGTGTAGACCTGAGAGAGAAGAATGAAGTCCTCTCGAAGTGATTTGTATTCAGTGATTCATCACTATCCGGGCGTTATAAATGTAATGGAGCATCCAGCTTTGGGGTTTTTCTTATCATCCCAACTTTGGAGTTTGAAGAAGGGAGAGAGAGAGAGAGAGAGAGAGAGAGGGAGAATGAAACCTGGACGAAGAAGGAGAGGGAACTGGAGAGAGAAAGGACGAAGCCTAAGGAGACTTTAACGAATGTGCAAGTGTGCAAGATTTGTAAAGGTGGAAGAGGACGAGTGGATGTACTTTTTACAAAATGTAAAAGCATTCCTTTAAAGCTGCTTCTATCGGCCCTCGTCACCAAAAGCTCTCGCATCTCGTTGTCTACCCCCGAGTGGACATCTCACTGAGTTCAGTACATGTAAAAGCAAGAGCACCAACAGTAACTAAACATTTACAGCTGCCTTTCCACATATGGTGTCACATGTTTGTGCACATGTATATGTAAAAACAAATACTGAATAGGCTTCACCCAAATGATTAAGACATTAGCCTGTGGTAGTTTTCCTCTAAGAGTTTCTTTCACCATAAAAGATGTTGCCCCTGTATTATCATCCATCAACCCTCCATTGCACCTGCCTCTACACAGAGTAATGCAAATGAGGAATTCACTTCAGCTCGTGGCTTAATATAATTCTTTTGATGATCATATGACCTCCCTCTGAGTTCACCCACTCTTTTCTCCTCTTTAAAAAGAGACCATGTCTTAAACTCATGGAAGTCAGATTAAGAATGCAGCTGTACCTCCCTTAACTCTGTCATCTCCCATCTCCTCTCCTTCCACCTCTCACAAGTGTCTCTCTCTCCTCTCTCCCTGCCACCGGAGCTTGTCTCACTTCCTCGCCTCCTTCCATCTCTCTCCACCTTACCAGCATCAGCAAACCAAGGTCAGATCCATTCATTCTTCCAGAAATCTGTTTAATACTTACAGGTATGGACCCTGGTTTGGAACGGGGCCCAGAGTCGTGCCTCACACAGACTGCTGAGGGATCAAGCTGTCTTTTTTGGTTTGGAAAATATCCAAGAGTCCGTGAAAGGAAGGAAGGAAGTTGAGGATTGGAATAGTTTCAAGTGCCCTCTCCAAAGATTAGGTTGGGTTTTTGGATATTGAATTTGGAAGATTCCCAAAGGTCTCAGTGGATGTTAAAAATGTGCAATACATTGAATGAAATGTCCTATTTATGGATACGATTGGATTTACAGGTTAAGAATGGTGCTCAATGGTCCAAATAAGAAAATCCATTGAAGACTCGAACCTCTGAAAAAGTACGACTTTTTTCAAAATGTTGGACAAGATATTTATATATTTATCCCTGGAGTAATTGTAGTGTTAAACCAAAGACGCATGATTAACATTTAGAAGCTGGCAAAGTGTCAGACTGATCAAAGAACCCCTGACATTGGTGTGTAAAGGCTATGAATTAAGCTGGGAGGAAATCCAAGCAAGTGTGCAACCAAGGGAGCGTCTTTAAAGATCAGAGCCTATCAAAGTGTCAGATTTACCCATGACCCGTGTCTGGGGAATACATGATTCAGTTATTAGGTCTGGAACAAGTCCAGGAGTCTTTGTGGTAAGTGGAGACGAGGCTGCTGACGCAGGTAAAGCCTCACCCAGTGGTGAGAAGAGATCATGTTAAACCGTACACATGCTAATATTTCTTCAATGTAATGAGTGTAATTGCGCCTGATGTAGACTTTCTCAGGGACTAATATGTCTAAAATCAAACATTTAACCCTAATAGCCCCTGTCGTCTCTCATGCAAAAGGGAACACACTTCTGAAATACTTCTATCCTATTAACCCTCAAACATGTAACAACATAAGTGTTAGAGATCTCTGTTCCCCATTGGAATAGATTAAGAGTTGAATTTTAATAAGAGGCTCTGAATCTCGGTGTGTATCATCCAGGAGTTTGTATGTGTGGTGTTAGACTGACGACACAGAGCTGGAAAGTTAATCTGAATATTTATTTGAATGTAGTGACCTTATTTCAGCATGACAGAGGAGTTTAATCTGTCGTTCTACATGCTCTCCTGTGGTGTTGGGCCTTTTAATTGCAGAAGTGAGGTCAAGGATTAGCGAGGAAGCTCAAAAACAAATGCACAGTCATGAATGTGTGAACACATTAGCATAGAAACACACACACAACCTTGAATAAACATCATACATGTTCACATGGAGTAGATACACTGATGAGATCAATATTTGTTTGAAACATGTCGTGAGGAGTGTGTTCATCTTGTTTGCTGCTGACAAAGAGCGAGTGTGTGTGTGAGTGTGTGTGTGTGTGGGTGTGTGTGTGTGTGGGTGTGTGTGTGTGTGTGTGTGTGTGTGTGTGTGTGTGTGATCTTCCTACCTTAACTTGTCCGACAAAGGCATTATCCTGCTCCTCTGTGACTGTGAGGTTCACTGGCAGTGAAGAATCGAACAGTGGGTCATTGTCATTAACATCCATGACCATAATGTTCACCATCGCTGTGGACGTCTACACACACAAACACAGACACACACACAGAAACCATGTAAAATTGAATTATATTTACTGCAAGACATTTGACTGCTGCCACAAAGCAACTGATTATGAATTCATCTTTAAATCTGGACGTAAGAAATTAAAGAGCCTAATTAGCTGCACTGCCGGTCCGTCCCTTTACGCTCGTGATGACTGTTTACTCAAAAAATAACTTTGCTTGATATGTTAAAAGGGATGAGTAAGATATATGCATAATTAAGAACAACATGTAAAAAGCAGTTCAAAAGGCCAAGTCTGTCGAGAGGGAGTGCAAAGGTTACCTACAAAAAGGGAAATGCAACAAACTTAATTTAGCATCTGAAGCATTAAAGCATGTTTCTTTTGATGGGATTCAGTGAACAATGAACCGCAAATTGACCCCAGATTCAAGAAGGGAAGTGGGAGGAGAAAAATGAGAGAGAGAGTAACCGACTTACAACAGTGGGTTGGAAAAAGGAGAAGCAGTGTGTGTGGGGGAGTGGGAAAGAGCTGCATTCACAAAGGTGACAATAGGCTGTTGAGGTTGGCAGGGCACACGGGGAGGCAAGTAATTTGAGGTTTAGAGCTCACAGTTGACAAAACAGTTTATCTGAACGCCAATATATGTAAAGTAGAACTCTGGTTAGGCTGGCTTAGCGACACACACACACGCACACACACACAGACACACACAGACACACACAGTAGTAGTAGTCATTGTTGTCAATGAAGAAAAAGTAAAAACTCTGAATTAAAACTTTCTGAGCTAAATTGGGATTTGGGCTGAATTTACTCGAGTCTCCTTCTGCAAGATAATTTCCACTGAGATCAGTCTTAACAATCTTTAGCAACCACCTGCGATAGATGGGAGGATGGATGGACATGTGTGATTGCTGAAACCTTAACTAGCTCTGAACGTCTACTCTTTGAGAACGCTGCATTTGTTGTTAAAAGTGATAAATCCATGCTAAGAGCAGACAGCTGTCTGAAACCATTGTGTTGCTGAGGAGAGAGGGGAAATCGATCAGAGCCATCGCACAGACACTGTCCAGAGCCAATACAACAATTTGGAAATGTCCTGATATGAAGAAAGAAACTACTGATGTGCACGGCGACAGTCGTCGACCTGGTCGGCCAAGGATGACACCAGCATTTGATGACAGAAACCCCTCACCACCAGCCTCCGCAGGGCTGGAGTGAAGGTATTATAATCCGCCCTTCGAAGGAAACTTCCAAAGTACAAACATAGAGGTCAGAACACGTGATGCAAACGTCTCATCAGGAAGAAACAGGAGGCTTGATTTGACTTTGCAAAGATGAGCAGCCAAAGCTCGGGAGCAAAGTTTTGTGGACAGATGAGACCAACATTAGCCTCGACCACAGTGGCAGCTGTGTTGGTCCTGCACGAAGGTTTGAATCCTGTGATACTCGGTGTCCTTACAGTGACGCTGGTTTACTGCACCGGCTTGTAGGGTCCACAATCTGTGGCAGTATGATGGATTCACTGGCCAAATAGCCAATTAGGCACTTTGTAGTCTGACACTCTCACAACGGGACATTCAATAATAGGTGACACAGACGTGTGTGTGTGTGTGTGTGTGTGTGTGTGTATGTGTATGTGCATATGAAGACAACCCAAGGCCTTTAGACTGATGCTGATTAATGGACCCGTATGAGGAAACTACACCCCCAGTCTTTTCTTCACCTTCTTCTATTTTCTTTCTTCCCCTTTATCTCTCTGTGTAGCTATACCAGTCCTCCCTCCCCCTCTCCTCACAGCTCTCAACTCTTTTTTCTTTCCTATTCAAAATATAATGGAGTGTCAAGCAGAACTACTTTTCGCCATTTTTTTGACTTAAGGACCTTTGGGGAAAGACGATAATACACTAATTGTCACGGCCCAGACAGCAATTGACAAAGTGTGTGTGTGTGTGTAAATGTGTGCATGTGTGTCCTTTATGGAACTATGAATACACAGCACACTTGTTAAGGTAATAAGAGCCCCCTCCATATCTTCAATCTCTCCCCCTTCCTTCCTCTCTAACCTCCTGCAACTTGTTCTCTCCCACCATGTTCTATGTGAGAGAGTGTGTGTGTGTGTGTGTGAGAAGGTCAGAGTATTCAAATCAGCATTTCCTGTGCTCAGAGGGACCTTAAACGTAACCTTTTGTTTTAATTGACATGGGGGGAGAGGGGGGTCAGTGGGGAGGAGGGGAGACAAACTCTTTTAATGCTCATCAAACAGATGTGTGATTGGGTGTGGTCAGAGGAACAGGCAGAGGAGTAGAAAAGGGGCGAGGGGAGAGCAAGGGGACGCCGTCCGATGTCTTCATTTGACTTTCATGTGAGAGCGACCAAAGATGTGACTTTTAAAAATGGAAAGAAGTGAGGAATGCAAACAGAGAGAGGGAGAGGAAATGACCTGTGATCAGTTTGGTGGGTGGGGAAGAGCACACACTCCTTTATTCTTGCAAAATAGCTCTTGCAGCGGAGTAAACACGTCCAAATTAGATTTTTTTATACATTTATTCAGCCTGCTTCCACACTGAGCCGGTGGTATGAAAACGACCTGCATTCACAGTAAGACGTTCAGGTCGTTTGTGTGTTCATTCCAAAACAATTCCCCCTCTCCTTTTCTCCTCCTTTTAGTCGGCTAATAACTCTCACTTTAAAATGCCCTGACCTCAGAGTCAGGTCGTTCGTTTAGTGGAAGAGGATTTTACCCTGATAAAAGTTGAAGAAAACAAATGAGAAGAAGCCATCACCAGTTTATGAGGGTTTTTTTTTTTTTGAAATATGACAAAAGAACAAAACTACTGATCATCCAGGACTCGACATCTGGCAATGAATGACACAGACAGTTTCCTCACCCACAACAAAACAATGTTATGATATGTTTTGATTTATCCAGGGAGTGGAAGAGCTCTGGGTAAATCTGGCCTAAATGAACAGAAAAAGGAAAATGGATTTTCATATTTAAATAGGTTGAGCTTGGTGTTGATATAATCCCAATCATTTCCTCTGAGACACAGTCCAATGCAATCCAATAAAATCAGCATAGTAATACGTATAAGCAGGAAAGAGCAGCAGTGGCCAGTTATAAAGGCAGTCAGCACTGTATGGTTAATGACTGTTTCGTTAGAGTGTAATTTAAAAGGTCCTCTTCATTTCATCCGACGGTTACACTTATTAAAGAAGGCAATTTTTCATGGTTGTAATTTCTTATGTTCTTCTCCCACTCATCCATTTTCTAAACCTCTTATTCTTTTCACAGTTGCCGGGTCTGCAGCCTGGATTTCCCATGATGTCTCATATCCATTCAGTTACTTAAGTATTGAAACACACTCATTGGTTCATCTTTACTGTTTATTTTGATGGTGATGCTTATTATGATTAAGACAATTATCGGATGACAAGTGTTTCCAGAAATTGCCTCTAATATCCCCCTTGTTAAATAATACCACAGCTGTTGTTTGTGGGATTTCGCTGTGACGGATTTAGACTCCCTCCCTGAACCCTGGGATGTGAAACAAGTCAAGTGAAGACGACCAGTTAATATCTGTGTGGTACGTCTGTAGTGTCTTACCCCATCTGGCTGTCCGTCTGAGGCTGTGACCACCAGGGTGTAATAATCCAGAGACTCCCTGTCCAGAGGCTTGTCCAGAACCAAATACCCTGAACTGGAGAGAGAGAGAACAGAAGTCTATTAAACCTGCAGGCTTGGGCTTAAAAATAGAACAGACACAACAACAAAAAAGAAGGAATAGAGTAAAAGAGCAGAATATTATGGTGTAATAAACTTTAAATCTGAGACTTTTTAGTTATGTGGAAGTTATTACACAATACATAAGAAGTTTATTGTTAAACACGTCACAGCATTAATACATTGTCGTGTTTTCAAGAACAATCAGGAAAATACAGCTTTTGTCTCTGGTCTGCAATTAAACGAAAGACTTCATGAGTACTGCTGAATGAGTTTGACTTAAAGGAGGGAGTATTGTCTTTGTAAGCCGTGTGTAGCGCTAACAAAGTTTGGGACTTTGAGAGCAAGTTGTGTTGAAAAGCATCACTATCATCTGACATCAGACACCACACAATAGAAAAGCAGCTCCGGTCAAAGAATTTGTGAGGTTAGTCTCATATTCACTTATTTATTACAGCCTACAAAGGATGTTTGAACATTTCTAATGGCCCTTGATACGAAAACGTTTCCCTCCTCTGTATGTACATATGAAATGCTTCAGAACTACTGTAAGATCTCATTTGAATCTGATTCTAATAAACAGACAGTGGTTAATTAACAGTGAAAGAAAGTCACCCAGTATCATAACATGGATTTACTTATGTTACACTAACATGAACTTAAAAATGTGTGGTGTATGAATGATACAACACCAGTATCCAGTTCCCTGAATCAATGTTTAATTTCATAGACTGTGAATTATTAGTATGGTTCAATATTAACTCACATTCAACTGGATAAAACTCAATAATAAAAAACATGGAGACAAAGAGAGCAAAAAGATAAAAGTCCGATCCAGCATAAATCAAACTGTTCTCCAGAAGTTCAACGGCTTCAGTGCGGCCTGTCTGGAAAAACTTCTGACCAATCAAACCAGCAGAGATTTGATTTGAAGCTTCTTTCCTGGATTAGAAACCATCTGAAATGGACATTTTGTCCAAATATCACCAGTGTGTGTGTGTGTGTGTGTGTGTGTGTGTGTGTGCACATGCTAAGTGCTCTACAGAGGGAAAGATGTGAAGCTGTTTCAAAACAAACTAAAAATGGGCTCATGTATATTTATGGATAATTCATGAAAAGCAGAGTCAGAAACCCGCACACTGATTTATCTTCTCATCTACACCAGAAATTTTGACACATTTTCTTCTCACAGCAACCGCGATCGATCCAAACATCTGCTACGACGCGTGGAGAGGGCTGAGAGTAAATCCCATTGTTTAGAATGAACCCACGAACCCTCAAATTCTTCAAAACACTAATGCTGATAAACCTCAAAGCTCAGACAGTTTCGGGTTCGATTCCTCCTGACATTCACAGGAGTGTTGATAATTTTAAGACTTATCATCCTTGCAGAAGATCTGACCAATGATTCTGTAGTGTGACCAGGGGTTCACAGACGTTATCTTAATGTCACAGGCTGAACGGAAGCCTTCCAAATCTCCAATGGAAATATTAAACACGTTCGATATTTGAACGATTCCAAAATCAGGGAGACTGATCCGAGGACGACGTCCCACCACTCAGAGATCGTTTGTTGTAACACCAAGTGTGTGGTCCTGGGTCTCGATTGGATCATCTAAGTGTGTGCTCTCACATGATCAGCATAATGTGGTCTCCCATGTTTTTTTAAATCAGTTAAGATTTAAAAATCCTCTAGTGTGCAGCAGCTGAGCCACATTCTGCACAAAAGATTGAATCATCTCTCCATTCTGTGCCGACAGGAGCTGCAGGGCATGTTGCATTTTTGCGGTGGAAAGACAAACTTATAGTCATGATGCAGAAAAAAAACAGACAATGAAAAATATTGTCATATCATTTTTTTTACAATGTCTGACAGAATCCTGTAGCACAGAAATTGATTTTAACCATTGTCATTATGAATTTATGTCTGTCTTCCTCGTTTACCTCCCAGTCCCCCCCCCCCCTTCCCTTTACTTTCTCCCTCTCTCTTCCCCCATCCTTACATTATTTCAGTCTTTCACCAAACCTTTGTTTTATTGCTCTCTCTGGTTTTCCCTGTAGAGATGCAGATTGGATCTTTCCCCTTTTAATGAGCAATAAATGAATAAAGAAAACAAAAGCCCTCAGAGTCTATATGTGTGTGTTGGTGAGTGTGAACGAGGGAGAGAATGTGGGAGTGTTTATGTGAAGCCCTCGGCGGAGCCTGGGCCCTCAATGATATGTCTGCTATCAACACACACACACACACACACACACACACACACACACACACACACACACACACACACACACACACACACACACACACACACTGTAACTACTTAGATAGGTATGTTGCCATGGTTTTAACACTCATCCTTCGAAAGAAGAAAAAAAATCATAGACATTACTTCAGTTTCTGAAAGTGTTAACGCCAACAAGCCCCGAGCTTTTCACAAAATATGATAAGTGTGTGTGCGTGTGTGTGTTATTGCAAACACTTACTTCTCCTTTAGTGCAAAGTGTCCATGGGGGTCTCCACTATGGATTTGGTAAGTGATAGTGTCCCTCTCCCGATCCACTGCCTTAAGAAGTAAACAGAGAAAAACACACACGCACACACACACAGTAACTCGATTAATACAATTTAAATATATAAATTACATTGAACCATTATTTTCCATTTCAGTGCAGGGAACAGAAACAGCGTGTAATGAACTTGTTAGAAAGTAACTAATCGATAAAATAAGGCAAACAATACAAATACTTTGCAAAAGCGGTTGCAGCAGTCAAAAGTAAGATTAATGGATGAAATAGTTTGTGATAATTAATGGATAACAGGTGATATAGTTAGCTAGAAGTAATGGATCAATTGTTAAACTTGTTAGCTGAAAGTAGTGATTAAACGTTGTCAAAAGTGAGATTAATGGTTGAAAGAGTTGGGAGAGCGCCGGCGTACCTGCAGATTAAGCAGCGTCGCTCCCGTCCTCATGGCTTCGCTGATCTCCAGGTTGTACTGCTGCAGGGGGAAACGCGGAGGGCTCTGGTTGTTTGGGGGCAAAACTTCGATATAGACGGTGGTAATGGACGACCTGGAGGGAGAGGGAGGAAGAGGAAGAGGGAGGGTGTGAAGACAGACACATAAAGGAGGAACGGTAGCAGAGGAATTTTAGAGAGGAACCAGAGGAGAGCTCAAAAGGAAAGAGGGTGAAAAACCAGTGTCAGAGAGAGTGAGCGGTCTATTATATCAGTTAAGAGCGGTGGGGGGTTTGTTTTTTTGCACTTCATATTGGGCTTAAGTACTCGATAGGAGCAAGAATGACAGTATGAGATAGTTTTCTGAGCACGGCCTTGATGTTTCTGTTGGGGTAAATTTATCCGGCTGTTTTTAATGATTCAGGCTGAGAGAAAACATATATTTTCTATTAATTCATTCAAACGGAATTTGGTCTGAACAGAGTTCAAGACATAACATCTTGTTAGGTTGGTATTGGATCATCCTTGACTGTGCCCTTTATTATGCAGTGTTAGGAACCTTATTATACAGCGTGGCACGTTCGAGGACCTCCAGGCTCAATTATTACTTCAAATCGAGACGTGCCCACAAGAGCACATAAACCTTTAATGTCATGTGAGGATTCGTATTGTTAAGGCGTTTATATAAATGTCCAGAGCATTAAGGAATAAAATGAGTGATTATACACTGATTAGTATTAAATGCAGTTATATAACATGGCTAGCTAAACCAACTATGGATGATGAATGGATCTGGGAATATCTTAGAAGGTAAAGCAAGTTAATGATCAACTTCTCAAGACAGAATTATATAAATGAGGGTTTTATAGAAGGAAAAAAGTAAGAAAAAGGTAAATGAATTTGCAACATGATGGCACCAAGAGGAAGGACATTAGGAGAAGTGTCTGATAGCAGATTGTTTCACTTTGTAAACATTTTAATTTGCAGTTGTTTACTCCTGCTTTGATAAACAGCTCTAGCTGCTCAATAAGCTGCATTCAACAACATTTTTCAATCAACCTAACACTCATTCCAAAACAGCACGTCACCATAATGACCTGCAACTGACAGAGCTGTTTGTTTCAGGCGCCATTAGCAGGCCTGTGTCCTTGTGACGGTTTATCTTTGTGAAAATATTTAATTACCTGGGTCACAGTTGTCATGTTTCAACCCTCTGGCAAGTTGACTGTCTGGTGTAATTGGGAGATAGCAAAGTGCTCGCTGCAAATTAAACTACAACTCAATCGAAAAACACAAACTGTCATCGGTTCCTATCTAGGGCGCTTTCACACCTGAAAGTCTGGAGACGGGTGTGAACCAAGGTTCAATAACTTTGTCAGACTGTTTACATTTATTTTTTTGGTTTCTCATTGTGATTTAGAGGGAACAACAAAGAAATGTGTACGACATAAGTAAGTCCTGTAATATGCACAACCTTTTTAACCTCATGTTGCTTTACAGCTAAAAAAAAAAACATTCAACATTGGGCCAGAGTCGGAAAATCTGTATATACTCAGCTAGTTCACAATGTTACACTGTAACTTTCTTTTTTAAATGTTGGGATTGAATTTAAAAGGACAGTTCTTTGCTGCTCAGCATGACTCTGCATTGACTGGGCCACCAGTGAGTCCGTGAGGTGGACGAGTTCACAGGTATCGAGTTATTTTCATCCTGTCTCAAAGAAAGAAAGGGGTTCGGGATGAAACTGTCCAGTCCTTTAACTTTGCAGTCAAATATTTTCTCAAACTGGTTACTTATTAAAAGGTTGCAAGAAGCTCAAGTTTCCCAGTTTACCCTCCATAACGACACACAAGCAGACCCTGAAAGTCAGGGTAAGAGACCAAGGGGACGTGGAGAGATCAGCTCTCATCAAACCAGCTCATCGATTGAAAACAAACAAAGGAGCTGGGGTTTCAATGGAATCTGTTTACGTTCATAACGATGAATAAATAAAGCAATAAAGGATTTAAAGATGTGAGCTGCCACAGAGAGTGAGAGCCAGTGTTTTATTAAAACAATTCAGATGGAATTATTGATGAAAACCAATTTCTACTGTAGCAGGAGCCCAGTTCTCTCTCTCTCTCTGTCTTCATCCAAAAACTCGACTGTCCCCCAACGGAACAAAGTCTTCTTTTGTGTTTCTTATTTGATATCTTTTTTCGATTCCACACACATCGGCTTTTCATACTTAACACACAGACCCGTGTATTTGCACATCAAATTCTTGTCGAGACTAATTTGAAAAAAAAGTTGCTTAATCTTGAGATTTCACAGACTCGCATTTGTGAGCATTTTTCTGCTGCTCAGCGTTTAATTACCTCAGCCCACACTAATAGCCTCCTCCTCCCCACTCATTAGCAGTAATTTGTTGGTCCAGCCAATCATTATTAGATTAGGTGAAGGTTTAGGTGAACGCACTTTGCTGCATTTCTCTCAAATCTCATCTCGCTGTCAAAGAATCCCACTTCTCATCAAGTCTGTTTCATTTCAATCTATGCATGTGACTACACTGATGTTTATTGGGCTGTGATCGCTGTCAAAGACGTTCTCGGCACTCAGCAGTACCGCGGCTGATCTGATCTCGTATAGATAAAGATGGAAGAACGCAGCTGATCCAGACAGGCTGCCTTCGTGCAGACGAGATGTTAATCTGCTTCATCTGTTGAATGAGACATTTATATTCTGGCACAGGACCAGAGCTAATTTCACTATATTCTGTGTGTGTGTAATAAAACTGCATTTTCTTTAATGGAGGATAAGACTTAAGTTACGTGACTTGGATTCATGTCAGTCATTCATGAGGATAAGAGGAGCAGAAGGGTGTTAACGTCTTGATTGACAGACGTTGGTCAGAGGGGTGAAGCATGTGCAGAAACATTAGAGGGGATGTTTCCACAATTCTGGGGTGCATCAAAAAAAAAAATTCTAATCTGAATGAAACATGACTCTTATGGGTTCTTCAACAGGTCTAGCGCCCCCTAACATGTAAAAAATATCATAATAATAATAATATATTTAATTAGTTAAGCTGGAATCCAAATAGGATTTTTGGGGTCCTGTAGTTTTGAAAAATTTAGTTATAGCTGAGATAGATATTGATTGGCTTTGCGAGTTATGTTTTGGGCTGAGATAAGCAGGGGGTCTGGGGAAATTTCAGGACAATCTGTGAGCCAATCACTGGAACCACCTCAATCTGCAGTGACTCACATTCTCTATTGATTTGGCAGCTACAGCTGGAACCGAGAGAAGGAAGAGAAGAGGGGATTCAGGCTTTTATGAAGTCTGACTAATTTAACTGAAAAGAGCAATGTATTGAAATAGTGAGAACTAAAAATGTTTTTTTTCAGTTGTTGTCGTTGAATAACAGATTCAAATGATTGGACAAAGTAGGTTGATTCACTTTGGTTAAATCTGAGGACAATCGACCAGTTAATGTTTTTTTCATAAAGCTTAGATTTTTACGGTCAGCTCATGAGCACCTCTATCATCACTGAGCGCCAATGGTTGACAGTCCCCGCTCGATTTTGTGGCGTGTTGGACACGCTGGGTAGGTTTTGGCCAATTGTCAATTGAAAATATTGGATCAGGGTGCAAGCAGTTGTTAGTCAGAGCTTTTTAACTGTTCAGTCTAAGTTAGTGTGGAATTCAGAAATGCTCACAGTAAAGGTAACATCCGGTGGATACGGTCCAAAATGTTCATACTGCTTCCTGTATTTTAACATTTAACAAGGTGAGCTGCTTGAATCTTCATCAGAGGACTGATGAACAGAAATCTGCCGACAGGTGAAATTAAATTAAACATCTGAAAGTGAATTCCTGCTTTGAAACAAGCAAGAGAAGGGAATGTTCCTAATTGACCTGCTCAGCCAATAAAACTGATTCCCTTCCATATCAACCCATCTAAAGAGTAATTATCACCTCAGTGTTGCTCTGTGTCTTTAACTCAAACTCTCTTTTCATCAAAGTTGAACACACGATGTGTTTCTGTGACTGAATGTTGCTTCTGTTCTGTGTTTGCTGTTTAAACCTGAGAGCTTCACCCAGGTTTTCTTTGAGTATCAGCGAACAGGCTGTTGTTCACGCTGCCGCTCCAACTCCTTTTGTAGGTCTTGTGTTTTCACTGATGTTGATTCTTCACGTGAGTTTTGCTTATAGCGTTTCTGTATTTGATGATGTGCAACAAGACAGAAAAAACCCTGGAAACTGGGAGGAAAAGGAAAGAGAGAAAACATGCCTCAGAAGGAGCTCGAACCTTTTGATGCATGTTGTCCCTCTTTTTCTGCAGACTGCACAAGCACGTGGCCGCTTCCCACCTAACCCCGTTCTATGATGATTTCTTTTTTTGAGAGAACTTGAGGCATAAAATAAAATAAAAAAAACAATCAAGGCATCAAACTCTCTGCCAGTGCAGCTGCTACATCAATCTGTGGAGCAGTGCAGTTTGACCGCGTTCCAGTGAGTGAACAGCTCGATGGCTGGATTTGCTTCTGTTCTCCAATACCGCACGCCAATTTCTTAAAGTAAAATTTCACAATTTAAGTGCTCTCTGCCATATTTTAGCTACCAAATCAATACTCAATAGAGTTTACACAAGATTAGGAGCAGATGCTTTTTCCATAACCAGAGTTGGGGAGTTTGTGAAAGTTATGGCCTCGTATAGATTTAATCCATGAAGGGCAGGAGACAGGAGAATATAAAAATATATCATCCTATCAAGTCACTTATTATTCTTGAATGCAACAGGAACAGAGTGCATTTTATTCTTCTCTCGTTTTAACATCTGTGGCATTTATTCTTTCCTTCCCTGAATTTGCGGAAATTGTCAGTTCGCTGACATGCACACGGTATCATTTCCTTTAGGTTACTATAAAAGAGTGTAACAAGTAGTCTGGCACCCTTGTATTCCACTTCGCTCTTCTCCTCCATTTTCCTCTCCATGTGATTTTCCAATATAGACCCAGACCTCATGATATACATCTAAAAATGACAAACACCTCACCTGGAAATGGTGAAGAGATCGATGAAAGAGCAAGAAGCAAGAAGGGAGCAATGGAGAGATCCGTGGAGGGTCTGACAATGAGTGTGAGGAGCTCTGGAAAACTGTCGACATTTCATATCTCAGCTCCGGACAGAAACCCTTACCTTCTCTGAGGTGCAGGCCCGTTGTCCACGGCCTCTACAGTCAACGCGTAGCTCCGCCCCACAGCGAGATCAACACCCGGTGCCACACTAATGAGCCCAGTGCTGTGAAAACAGTTGCAGTATGAGTATGAAGCATTTGAATTTTGATTATCTGCGCTGTATTTTAATTTATATTGTTATTATTATTATTATTATGGCTCTAGTTGACTTTCAAAAGGCCTTATCAGTCAGTTTGGCTGTTATTGCATTATTATCTAGTTTGTATATAAAGTTACACTGCCATTTACAAATGTTACACAAGTATTCATCATTAACAACAACAGCACTGAAACAATACGAGAGAAAAATCTATTCATCCTGCTAATTGAGGTGATTTTCTTTCATTTGAGGTATTTTCAGCTTTTGTTCACAGGAAAATGTTTGTTTTTTTCTTACATGGAAATAAGCTTATTTTCTCTCACAACTTAAGCCTGACAGTAAGAGTTTTTGTACAAATTGAAACAAACAACAGGATGTGTGAATAAGTGAGGTTTACACAAGGTCAACACAGACTGTGTAGGGAAAGCGGTACGTTTGCGAAGCAGCCACCCCTTCAGCAAACTGTCAGTGTCTACACGTGATGCGTTCAGGTACAGTGTTCAGTGAAGGTCAACCGTGCTTTGGCAGAACTCGTTTTTTGGCATTAGAAAATGTGGTATCAACCTTTTAACACATAATCTAATTCTTTTCCAGGAAGCAAATTATCTCCTAAAATATTGACACGTCTATAAATTCTAAATAAATACAATATCACAGTGCAAGTTATATAATTACCTGTTTCCAATAATGAAGTGCTCCTGGGCTCCAGCTAAGATCCGGTAGGTGACTAGACCATTGGGACCTGAATCAGAATCTACTGCGGACAGCTGGAAGAGAGTCACAAGAATCATCTGTCTAAACAGTCACGTACATATTTTTACAGCACAATGAAAAATGTTCTTCAAAATATCTCCTCATCCTAATCAGTTTCACACGGAATACTATCTATATACACAAGGTTCATAAGTTTTAAGAGCTGTGTTTTTAAAAAGTAGTCATTGACCGTGTGTACCTGTAACACCGTTTCTCCAGGCATCATATCAGTAAAGAGGTTGACATTATAAGAGACGTTAGCGAAAGTCGGAGTGTTGTCATTTGCGTCCAACACTGTTATCGTCACGGTAACCGGAAAACTCTGCTGGACACCGTCCGACGCTAACAGCTGCAGACACACAGAGACACGGGGAGAGACAAAAAGTAAGAATACATTATTTTTTTGACAGGATAAAGAAAACACACTAAAACGTTCCTTCTTGCGGAAGATGTTAAACTCAGCCGAGACACAAAAAGCTACCTTTTGAGCATCGTGAGGTGGGCGGACTGTGTGCTCAGCACGTCCTTGACATCTTGATAGTGTCAGGTTTGTTTTCTTGTTTCTTTTGAGGTGGAATTGCTCTGTACGTTTTCAATCTAAATCCCTGCTCTGGGTTTATTTATATGTTCTGGTGGGTGCAGCTGAAAAGTCTCAAAAATCTGTGAACTAATCTGTCCCTGCTGTCTCCTTTGTATTTGTTTTCACCAACGTACAGAGCGCTCCTGATGCTTGTTGACTGCACTACCTTCAAGTAAGAAAAATCGAGGGTAAACATGTACAAAACAAGCATAAACAATCTAATTGTTTCAATGTACATTTACTTCTTAAAATACACCTGAAAATATTGCCCAGCATGCACTGCTGCCACACACACAGGACAAGTCAACTTTGCAGACTTTTTACATACACAAAAAAACAAATATAAAACAGTCTCCTTTAAATATGAAGCTACAGCTAGCAAATGGTAAGCTTAACTTAGCATAACGACAAGTGTGGATAAGTAGCTGGCCTGGCTCTATCCAAGGTGATGAAATCCAGCCCAGTGTCTGTTACGCCCACTATGCAACACATCTCATTTGTTCAATCCTAAAACACAGTAGAACACAATGGGCACTAGCTAGTTCCAGACCTTTATCATTGTCATATTCACATCCAGCGCCCAAGTTATTTAAAAAAGCAAATTTGCTTCTCTCTTCCTCCAGTCACGCCACTCTCCTGTAGAGCAATCCAAGCAAATTCAACTAACATGTCCTCATCCATGTTTCAGATATCACACGCAGTGCATATCAAAGTGCTGATCAACAGAAACTTCCTCACCGATACCAATCTTCTCCACGAGCTCATGTGCCGACAAATCATCCTCGATGTCTAATAGCTGACTCACTCTCTCGTCCTTGAGTTTAATTTCTCCTGCAAGGCTTTCATGATGATTACCGTACACCTCTGCCTTTCAATCAATACACCAGAGCCCATTTTTTCCATCAAGTATGCATCAACTCTGCATGAGGCGCTACACAGCCACACACACACACACACACATTCATTAATGTGACCAGGCTGAACATGATGAATAACACACTCCTGTATGTAACAATGCTCTACATCATACGGTTGGACACACACATGCACAAACAGATATCCTGTGCTCGGCAACAGGAAGTCTCTCTGTGCCCTCGTAACAAAAGAGACTGCGGAATTCGATGGCACTGAAATGAAAGACGGAGAACGGCACATTGAGAGGAACAACAAAAGAGAAGAGCTTGAGACGGACCTCACCAGTCTAATGGAGAGAGAGAGGGACAGGAAGGAATCACATTCTCTAAACCCTAATGAGGAACCTGTGAGGACCATTTCAAGTTTCATGAAGACATGGGGACAGGAGGATATTCTGGATTTGGATCTGGCTCAGACAGACAGGATTAAACTCAGACATCGACCTGTTGAACAAGGGGCTGCATCCATGCATCGTTTATTCCCAGGCTGCTCACACACGCTGTCCATTGTACTCCACTAACCTTTCCTCCACTCTTGTTACCAGAGACTCCAGACTACATGACAGATCTCTTGGGACTGAATAACACTCTCCTTACCTCCTCTCAGTTTGGGGTCTGCACTCCCAGAGGGGACAAAAGCCTGGCTCATGCATTTTCAGAGCAGCTTTCCTTTTTTTTTTTTTTAACTTATATACTTCCGTTTTCCACACTGCATGTTGTGGAATTGAAATGAGGCAATATCCCTGCAGGGATCAATCCATCAGTTTCTCTGAGTCTGATTCTGATCCATGAGCCAAGAACTGGCCTGAATGTTGTAAACAAGCCAGTCGCTCATAAAAATCTGTTACAACATAAAATTGGAGGTAAATTAAAATCTGTATTCACACACTTCCTGTGTATGAGAGGGCTTATATGTGGTGCACAGTCCATCCCATCCTTCTCTTTATTTTCTTCTGATACCTGTTCGTCTAACTCCCTCTCTTCCTCATCCTTTTGTTTTCTACGTTTTGTGTGTGTGTGTGTGTGTGTGTGTGTGTGTGTGTGTGTGTGTGTGTGTGTGTGTGTGTGTGTGTGTGTTTGCACAGATGCCAAGGCTCTAGAATACCGTGAATGTATAGAAGTCTTGTGTCTCTCTGTCCAGTGGCTGCAGCAGTGTGAGATATCTTCTGATTCCAGTTGCAGACACAGAGAAAACGTTGGAGTAGCTGTCCAATGAGAACAGGAGCTGAGGGTCCCTGGTCTGTTGAAGAGAAAGAGATGTTTAGAGGTTTAAAGATGGTCCTAAGAGATGTGGAAGTGTACCTGCATCTTCGTGAGGACCATTATGAGCATAGTCCTGACGGTGTGAGGATGTTTTGGAAAAGTGTAGAAATTTTGGCCAGCCCTCACTTTTTGAGGCAACGCTCTAAACGAGTGACACGTGGGGCCACAGAAGTAAAAGGTTGAGGTATGAAAATACTTTCCCAAGACAGGGTTTGGATTTGGCATTTAGTTGTGGTGGTTAAGGTTAGTGTAAGGGGCAAGGAAATACAATATACCCATGCATGTGCTCACTAAAATAGAAGTACAGGATTATGTGTTTGTGAATGTGTGTGTGTGTGAGAGAGAGAGAGAGAGAGAGAGWGTGTGAGAGAGAGAGAGAGAGAGAGAGAGAGAGAGAGAGAGAGCTATATTCAGTGATAGAGAGGCAATCCTAAACCAAGTCCTCCTCTGACATTACCCACACAGACACCTCCTCTGTGTGTGTGTGTGTGTGTGTGTGTGTGTGTGTGTGTGTGTGTGTGTGTGTGTGTGT